AAAAAAAAAAATCCTCAGTGATTCCTAATTATTTTTGAATACAGAGGCTTGGGAAGGAGTTTCCACTGGGTTCAGGAGGAAGGTGTGACTTCTGCGTAGTGTTGGGGGGAAAGGGTAGGAGTAGGGCCTATGCAGGCTGTCCTCTTAGCCCACAGGCGCCACGATGATGTCTACTGGCAGCTCCTCCGAACTTCTGGCTGTCACCTGCATTGTTACTGTGTCCAAAAGCAGCAGCTGGGAGCACACGAGGATGTCATGACCAGCCCGGAACACACCTAGAAAGGGAGAGAGAATACAGTGTACAAGGCAGAAGGGGGCTGCAGAGGCCGGGCTGTGGGTGCCGTGGGCAGCAGCTGATGAGGGCAGCTCTGGTGCAGTGCAATGGGAGTGGGCCTGGAACCAGGAGAGCTGGGCTGAAATCCCTGAGGCCCTGTGCAAGTCACTTTACCTCTCTGAGCTGTGGTATCCTCAACTACAAGGTGGAGGAGATAATAATACTAACCGTATTTCAAACTTCTGGCAAGCTCAAATAATTAATGGACATATAAGGCTCGTACCTGATGTCACAGAGGCTCTCACACGTTGGCTGGATCTAAGAGCACAGATGAAGGGACAGCCCCCACCAAGACAAAACCGCAGAGCAGGTGTCTGCCGGACCCAGGGACTGAGCTGCTTCAGTGGGCCTGGGCGCTGTCAGCTGTGAGCCGGGCACTGAAGCAGAGCTACCTCCCACCCCTGTTTATAAACACTCAGCAAAAAGCATCTCGCATTCCCCTTCTTTCGCTGTTTAAGGTGTGATAATTGTATTGCCCCCTCCCCTTAAACAAACGGTCATTATCTCTTAGAGAAACGTACAGATAAACATTTACATACAAAATGCTTTATCTGGAATTTGCTTTAAAATAATCTAGGGGGGAGAATGGGTGGGAGTATAGACGCTGTTGTTGCAGCTGGAAGATGAGCACATGGGGGCTCATTATACTATTCAATTTTTGTTTATGTTTGAAAATTTCCATGATGAATGCTTAAAATCCCATTCCTATTAGAAAAGACCAACCAACCCAGTAGAAAATTAGACGGAGGATATGAAAACAATTCACAGAAAAGGAAATACAAATGACACTTCACATTTGAGAAGATGCTTTACGTCATTCAGTATACAAGAAATGTAAAATAAAACTACACTAAGATACCACTTTTCACCCAGACTAGCAAAGATTATAAAATCTGATAATATACCATGTTGTCCAGAGTGTGGGAGGAAAGGCATACAATCCTATGGAAGGCAATTGGAAATATTTATCACAGTGAGAAATGCACCTTGGCCTGGTAATGCCTTGGGAAACTTATCCTATAGATATCCTCAGTGCACACATGCAAGATAAAGTGTGTGTGCATATACACATATGTGTATATGTGGGCTTATTCACTCTAGCCCTGTCTATAACAGCAAAAGACTGGAACTACCTAAATGTTCATCGATATGGCCAGTTCTGTAACAATGGAACATCCATACAGTGGGATGCGGGGCAGCTACACACAAGAACAAGGATTCAGTTTGGGATGATGAAAAAGTTCTGGAGATGGATCGTGGTGATAATCGCAGAATAGTGTGAATGTACTCAATGCCACTGAACTGTACACCTAAAAATGGTTAAAATGATAATTTTATGTTATGTATATTTTACCACAATTTAAAAAAAAGAAAAAACAATGAGGAAACTATGAACTGATAGAGAGGATCTCCAAGATGCACTGTCAAGTGAAAAGCAAGGTCCAGAACAATGTATATACCATTTGTACATAAACTTATGAGTTAAAGGAAAATGTGTCTGTATTTTTCTATTCATAAAATCCCTGGAGGACATACCGGCATTGCCTGTAATAGTGACACCAGTTGCCTGTGGAAGGGAACTGGATGATGGCAGCAAGGGTCAGGAGGGAGACCCTTCACTGCAGGTCTTTTTGCACACGGTGAGCCATCAACACTGTGAGTGTGGAATTCCTGTATTCCCAGTGGGAGAGCCTTCCCAGGATGCAGTGACATCCAGGCTGCGAGCTACCCAGGCCCTTCCCACCCATAAATGCTGCTTACCAGCCAGGAGCAGTGTGTGGGTGTTCTTGTTATCTGGCACTTCGTCTGACCTCTCACAAGGGTGGGTTCCCAGGATCTTCACAGTATTGCCCACAGCCTCTGTCCAGAGGAATCTCAGTATCATTAAGCCATAGATCTTGTCTCCCTTTTGTGCCACCACCACTCCCCATCCCCCAACCCGCCTCTAAGGGGCTTTTAATGAAGTGTCACCTGAAGTATGTGCTCTCGACATGGCCCTGGATCCTTGGGGTGCAGGGGGCGGTGAAGGGAGAAAGGGGAGAGGCATGTCAACAGTAGCCAAGGATTTTACCTTTAAGTGTCTTGATGGCAGACAAGGTGAATGTTTCCTCCTTCTCAAACTCATCTCCTACCTCACCCCGGGCTGCTTTGAAGTTCAGTTTCATGACCTTGTGGATGTGATCAGCTACAGTGACTTCCAGATCTTCCAGCTGGGAAGATGGGGGGTGCATTTAGGCACACACTTCCAGGGGAGAAACTCCCTGCTCTGTGCACCTCTGGGCCTCTGCTCTGAACTCACTGCTCATCCTTTCCTGCCGCACATTCAGCAGCTGCTTGCTGGGCGCTGAGCGCTGTGCTAGGCTCTGGGGACATGCAGCAACTTGACCGGTTACCTGTCCTCAAGGTGCTCACAGCCAAGTGGCGTCCCTTCAATGGAAAACGCTCTGACCAAGTATTCACTTTAGGGTGTCAGCTGCAAGATCACATCCCTTCTGAAGCCCGCCTAGAGTCAGCGCCTCAAGGATCCAGGACTGTAGGGAGCACTCACAAGAGGTCTGCCTCCTATGGCTCTGTCACTCCTATGACTCAGCAGATTCCACCCCCTCAGCTGTGTCCTCTGGGCCTGACATATCCTGGACCCCCACCTCCATCCTAGCTGTGTCCTCCTGAACTTGGCACATAATACTTCCCCCCACTTTGGACTGAGTGTACTTAAAAGTTCCCCATCCATTCCCCCAACAGAGCTTCACTGAGCCCCTTCACTTGTGGAGGGTGTACATAAGTAGCACTCGACTCCTACACAGAGGCACTGCCTCAGACCCAGCTCTCCCAAGGAGCTCGCTTGTCCTAGGGCAGTTCCTGCCCTTAGGGTCACTGCTGGCTCAGGATGGCCCCTCCTCAACAATGGCTCTAGGATGACACAACCGTGACTGTCAGTTATATTCCACAGTGACTTTCCCCCGGTCATGAGGAGTTCTAACGTGTCCATCCCTAGGCTGAGCGTAACAGTCTGCACGCAGATGGCACTGAGCCACTGCCCCATGCTCAAACCCCAGAACAATCCTGCACTCGGTTCCATCCAGGCTCAGAGAGGTGAAATTTGAAGGGCTATTTCAGTGCTCAAAGGACTACCCAGCAGATGCAAACTGATCCAATTTCTCTAGAAAGCAATTTGATAAAATGAATCAAAAAGTCTTAAAATCATGATTATCTTTTGACCCAATTATTCTACCTCTAGGAATCTATCCTAAGGAGATAATCTGAAATGCAGATAAAAATTTGCACCCAAACATGTTTAATGCAGCATTTATAGTGAAAATTTGGAATTCCAAATGCCTAACATTAAAGGAATACACAGTCAAGTGAGTTATGATATATCTATATAACAGAGTATTTCAAACTCATTAAAAATTGTGTTTATGAAGTATTTGTAATGACACAGGAAAATACTTATACTATGGTTTTAAGTGAAAACAGCAAGATGTATAATGTACAGAATGACCTCAACTATACAATGCCCCCGCCCTCCAAAAACTCCCAAGGACTATGGGTAATGTTTTCCTGTTTGTTTATACTTTGTTTTTGTATTTCCCAAGTTTTCTTTTATACATGAGCACGTATTTTTTTAAGTTAAAAAAAAGTTTCTTTCAAAGAGAGCTGTAAAGCCTAAAACAGCAAGCCTGACCCATCGGCTTCCTCTGGGCTACCGTGATTAGATCATGCCTGGGTGCATGACTCAAGGCTGTCAAGTGAGGCCCCACCCCAGGACTTTTCTTGGAACCACTATGAAAAGGAAGCCCTTTTCCACTGGGACTTTGGGTAGAAGGATAATGAAAGCCTGGAACTGCCAGAGCCCACCACACAGGGAGATCCTATGTGAGAATGAAGCCAACACAGAGGGAAGCAGAACAGGAAGATGGAGACAAATTCCTGACAAAATCAACTGAGCTCCTGGATCCAGCGGCACCTGAAGTCATGCTTACCTTGGCTTCAGGTACATGATCTGATTCCCTCTTTTGCCTAAGTCCATTTGAGTTGGGGGTTCTGTCATTAGCAACTGAAATAGTCCTGCTAGAATGTGAAAACCCACATATCAGTCTTGCCTCTTTCACTAGCTCCCACAAACCACTTCTGAGTACATACCCAGCTCTCCTGACAAAAATGGCAGCAAACAGGGCCTGGGACTGTCCCACAAGAGAAACACAAAGGCTGATAAGAGAACTGCTAAATAATGATTTTTAAAAAGTAAAACTATCACAGGGAGAAAGGAGGGCTATGCTTGGTCTATACAGGGCTGTATTATGACTTTCATAGGCCCTGGGCACTTTTGCTTACATGGGTCTCTTCCTCTATTAAAAAAAAAGTTAAGGGGCTGGTCTGGTGGCATAGTGCTTAAGTTCAGCATGCTCCCCTTCAGCGGCCCAGGTTTGCCGGTTTGGATCCTGGGTGCAGCCCTACACCGCTCATCAGCTGTGCTGTGGTGGTATACCACATACAAAATAGAGGAAGATGGGCACAGATGTTAGCTTAGGGACAATCCTCCTCACCAAAAAAAAAAAAAAGAGTTAAAAATTGTATTTTACAACTGCATTGGTATAAAGATGAGTATAATCCAGGCTGGATCATATTCATTTTTTTCTTATTTTAAAAGAAATTAAAATATTTTCGTGGGCCCTGAAAGCATTGTGGGCTCTGGGCACTGTGCCTACTTTGCCTAATGGATATGCTGGCCCAAGGCCCGTATTATCCAGATTGCTTATCTACACAGTCTGGGCTCCCTAGAGCCTAGCCCGATTCTCTTCTCCTTGTCTAGAAGGAGTGGACAGTCCAGTGAGTCCCTTGGAGCCCTGGCTGGCCTCTCTCTCCCTATCTCCGCACACTTCCCTGGGTCATCACCAGGGAAGTTTGGCGCCATCCTCAGAGTGCCCACTGCACTGGGGACACACCTGTAGTCTGGCTTTATCACTATGCATCATGGGGAGCTGCTCCCAATCTGTCAGGTGACGAGGCTGGGAGCTCCTCGATGACCCATGTCTCGTTCATCGACGTGCTCCAAGTCCCAGCAGAGGCTGGGCGCAGAACAGACCCTGGTGGGGCAAAGCGTGCCTTCTACCTAGGAAACTCTTGTCACTTAGGACTTTGCTCGGGCCAGGCAGGCCGCAGAAAGGGACCAGGCAGCCGGGTACGAATGTGGTGAACTGGAGGGCACCTGCCTCTGAGGGCTTCCTGGGTCCCCATCTATTCTGGACAATGATGCTGACGCAAATCAGGAGGGGTTTATGTGGGCCAGCCCGGTGGTCAGTGTTGGCTTGTTGCTCAGGCAGACTTCTCCCCCGTGGTGGCAGACATGGCCTCCAGATGCTCCAGGCCACTAGCACAGCTGCCTCAGCAGAAAGAAAGCACCTCATTCCCAATAGTCCCCAGCAAAAGTACCAGGGCTGAATCTCATTGGCTGGAATTGGGTCACATGTCCATCCTTGAACCAATCACTCTGCCTCAGATTGTCTAGGTCTGAGTTTGGGGGTAGGGGTGGATGCCCCAAATGAACATTGGAGTGCTGTATATAGTAAAAGAGGGAATGGATGCCTATAACCATGCAGGCTGCAAAAACGCTTGCAAATTCTTCTCCTTCATATATGTACACCTCTTTATGATATGACTCCTTCCAAGAAGTGGATCTATTTCTCCACTCCTTGAATCTGGGCTCAATCATGTGACTTGCTTTAGCCCATGCGACATTAACAAAGGTGATGCAAGCAGAGGCTTATGAAGTACCTGTGCACTGGAGCTGGCCCTCTTCTGGCTGCTCTTGGGAACCTTCTAACCACCACCACCATGTGAACAAACCCTAACGATCCTCCTGGATGATGAGAGACAGGTGGCCAAGTCATCTTTGTCATCCCAGCTGACACTGAGCCACCTATGAGACATGTGAGTGAGGCCATCCTAGATCATCCAGCCCCAGCCAAGCCACTTGGTTACCAAAGAAATCAGCTTGGCCCTGACCAGAAAACTGTTCAACATACTCACAGGGTCATGGCAAATAATAACTGTTGATTATCTTAAGCCACTAAGTTTGGGGATGGTTATTACACAGCAATGACTAACTGCTACAGTGGGCAAAAACCACACTGACTCTCCACAGGAGTCTTCTGCCTGCACGGAGCCCCCAGAACCAGAGGTGCTGGAGCCCCAGTCCTGCGGTCCCTCCTCTCCCCCATAGCAATCTTCTCCTGCTCTCTTTGTTCCCAGTACTTATCTGAAGTCTGCTTCTAATCTGGTGCTGGACTTGATGGGTGCCAGGGACAGGACAACCCTTCTTGTGAAGAGCAACTCTTACGCAACTCTCCCTGTCTCTGTAGGCTCCCAGCCATTGCTCCTTACAAGCAGGCAGCCATCTACCTGGAACGAATTGAAGAATGTTTAGCTGAGTCTTCTGCCAGAA